GAGTTGCTTTTGGTATTAGGTATGATGGAGAAACACGCGAAGGGAGGAAATTTGGTGAACTTTTAAAAGTGGCTCAAGAAATGTTGGCAGACTTTTTTGTCTCTGATTATTTTCCTCTCTTAGGATGGATTGATAAACTCTCCGGAAAAATAAATAAACTTGAGAAGAATTTTAAGGATTTTGATGAGTTTAATGAAGGACTCATTGAGCAACATCTCAATCCCAATAGGCCATAATCCATGGAAGGAGATATTATTGATCTTCTGCTCCAATTAAAGAAAGAAAAATCAACTCCAATCGATCTTACTTTGGACAACATAAAGGCTATTATCATGGTAATTATTTAACTACTCTATGTGTCAATTTTATATATTTTCTCTTTTCGGCTGCTCACACCTAGCTATATAGTTAATTTTTCCAATGAATTAACAAGTTGAAGTGAAAATCTTATCAATTAATCCTGGTTAGATGTTAAAAATTGTATATAAGGAAGTCTTGTGTATTGTTATATTTATTGACTTGGAATTACTACTCTGTCATACAACTAAGATTGTACTTTCTTGAGACTAAATAAATGAAGTAAGCAAAGTTTTCTAATTTCTCTCCAATAGTCATTGGTGAAAACACTATGTCATGACTATTGTAAGACAATTTTTGTTGGCAAAGAGTAGAGGGTCTACTACAAAATGCTAAATCTTGTGTCTTCATTACTTCTTTTGCTAATTTTGCTGAAAAAATTACAACTACTGGAGTAGAACCAAATTTCAATAAGAATATTTTTCCATATTTTTTAGTAAGTTTCCAAAAATAGATATGAGGAGTTACACTATCATATTGATGCAAATTTCCAATGATTGGCAAACCTAAAGGACCTGGTGGTAGATTGGTATTTCTACTTATTTTGGTTTTGTGAAGAAGAAAAATGAGAATAATAGGAAAAGCTACTAAAAATATAAAGAACATCATGGTTTTGTTGTGTCACTGCCAAATGCAACTTCAAATGTAACCTATAAATTGATCTTCTATTGAGTTGCTTTTATACACATTTTTTTGTTCAATTGAATGTAGTGATATTTGAGAATGACATCACAATTTAATCTTAAAGATGTTTAGGTATGCAATGACATAACCTTTTTAAATGTTCTAGACTTTCTGCTTAAATACGATTTTTTAGTGTTGATAATATAATTAAGTAAATAAAAATATATTATTTCTATACAATTAAATTTTTAGATGAATAGTCGCACAATTCCATATGATAGCAAAGCAAGTAGAGTTTCATAGATAGTATTTAATTTTCACTCTATTGTACAAAAGTTACAAAATGATTTTCTATAGAAAAAGTTGCTCAAATATACCCAAGTGTATCACGAAAATTACTAAATTATTTTCTTACTATAGAAATATCACGAATTCTCATCTAAGTATTGCAGAAATTGAGTGACACGTTGTATGATATTTAAATAAAATTAAATGACTTTCTATAAAAATAAATTAAAAATATTTTATTAACCTTTCAAGATACTTAAGTAAAAGGTGTCTGACTTATCCATTACAAAAGATAATTTAGAAATTTTAATGTAATAAAATAAAGCTAGTCTTGAGCAAACTCTGTCATCGTATGCATTATTACGATCCAAAGGATTCACCAAGGCGATTCATGATTTGAAGATAACGATACATCATAAAAAAATATATACACATTATAGTTGAAGCAATATCAGATATATTATCGTCTTATCTAAAAGTTTGCATAAATATTCGTAAAATTGATATATAGTACTAATATATAAATTAAATGACATAAAGAATAATGTAGTTAGGACTCAACTCAGATCACGTGCCCGAGCTCCAAGGTTTAGAGCGTACTTTTAAAATATATGATTGTCTTCAGAGTTCGAGTAAGGGTAGTAATTGAGCGGGTTAGGTCAAATTTGAATGAGTCATAATGATATTTGGTCAGAATTTAATTAGAATGATATTTTATATATGTTATTTTATTATTTTAAAATATTTTTACCCTTTTAGCTTTAATACATTTTAACTAAAATATAGAAAAAACATCAATTTATTTTAAAATAAAAAAATATTATAATTTTTTTAATTTTCTAGCCAAATTCTGGCCAAACTTTCTGGCCATTTAGCAATTCCCTTTGAATAATTAATGTTTGATAAAAAAAAAAACATATTATAAACTCAAAGAACAAGATGTCTATTAATTTTGAGAATTTTCTTTGGTTTGATTTAATTCATAAAATCGAAAAGAGCAGTTACATTTGATAAGGATAAGGATATAGAGTCCTAGTACATTAGTATGTTTGAGTCATATATGTAGTTATTTCTCCTCTCTTTAGGTATCTTACGTTCAACAAGACTCCTTTATCTTCTATACTTGTTCATATATAAATACCACACATTGTATCAATAATACTCAACGCTTTCATAATCATATACAACTCTTATATGGTATTAAGAGCCTCTTAAACACTCTGACGAGTATATCCGATCGTCTTCCTTTTTTTTTCCAGATTCCAACTCCTTTTTCTCCAGAATGCCTGCTATTTCCTCCTCTCCTAACTCTCCAGCAGTCACTCTCAATCAAGGGGGTGTCGTTCAGCCCTCTCAATTGATCTCTTTTAACTCTACGTCTCAGATATCCTTCAAGCTAATAGGAAGTGCAAATTATCCAACTTGGAAACTCCAAGTTACCACTTTATTGTTTGGCTACGATCTTCTTACTTTTGTTGATGGTTTACTTCCCATACCAACTGTGCACATTATGGACAAAGACAATACCTAAATCCCTAACCCCAACTTGAGATTGTGGTAGCAACAAGACAGTCTTGTTCGCAATGCCATTATGGCATCCGTTGACGCTACAATAGCTCCCCTCATTGCCCATGCTTTCACTGCCAAAGAAGCTTGGGATATTCTCCAAACAACTTATGCGAGAAAATCGCACTCAAGAATTTTCAGTTTGCGCGATACTCTGGCGAATGTCAAATGAGACGCACGTTTAATCAGTTATTATATGAGAGAAATCAAGTCCATTGCAGATGATTTGGCCTGCAGTGGTTCACCCGTTAACAATGAGGAACTTGTCATTAAGGTCCTGAGTGGTCTAGGTCCTGAGTATAAGGAGTTATCTGCAGCAATAAAAACTCGTGATAATCCCATCACATTCGAAGAACTCTTTGATAAACTCCTTGCACAAAAGATGTTCATTAAACACTCAGAACCTAAAGTTGACACACCCATGATCACTGCTCAATTTCATCAGCATTCAATCAATAATGGTCCCAAAAATAGACAGCCTAACTCTTCCAATCGTAGGAATACTCCTCCTTCAGGTTCCTACAACTCTCGTAATCAATTTTCTGCCCCGAATATCAATTCATTCACCCAGCAGAATACCACCAAAAACAACAATCAACGAGTCCAATGACAACTTTGTGTTAAGTTTGGTCATATTGCAAAGGAATGTAGGTCCAAATCACACAGTGCTACTGAAGCATATGCTAATTTTGTCAACCGTCAGTCTTATGCTTCTAATTCTCCAAGCCCTTGGGTTGTAGATTCTGGAGCATTGCATCATATTACAAACAACTCTGACTCTCTTCAAACTCCAATTGAGTTCTCTGGAACGGATGCAATAATTGTTGGTGATGGTAAAAGAATTTCTATCACTCACATTGGTCACACTACTTTATCTTTTCCTAATCTTGTTGCCAACTTTCTTTTAAAAAAATGTTCTTTGTTCTCCATCTATAAAAAAGAAGTTGATTTTGGTTGCTCAATTTTGTAGGCAAAATCTAACTTCCATTGAATTTTTCCCTTATTCTTCTGTTGTGAAGGATTT